CATAAATCAACATCTTCAAGCACAGCTTGATTCAAATAACTTATATACTTACTTTGAAATTAACAATTCTTCTGCAACCGTTAATAAAGAGACATTTTTTAAAGAGAATTTTTCTTTTATTTTTATCTTCTTCTTCTTCTTCTTCTTCTTCTTCTTCTTCTTCTTCTTCTTCTTCTTCTTCTTCTTCTTCTTCTTTTCTTCTTCTTCTTCTTCTTCTTCTTCTTCTTCTTATTCTTCTTCTTATTCTTCTCTTCTTCTTCTTCTTCTTCTTCTTCTTCTTCTTCTTCTTCTTCTTCTTCTTCTTCTTCTTCTTCTTCTTCTTCTTCTTCTTCTTCTTCTTTCTTCTTCTTCTTCTTCTCTCTTCTTCTTCTTCTTCTTCTTCTTCTTCTTCTTCTTCTTCTTCTTCTCTTCTTCTTCTTTCTTCTTCTTCTTCTTCTTCTTCTTCTTCTTCTTCTTCTTCTTCTTCTTCTTCTTCTTCTTCTTCTTCTTCTTCTCTTCTTTCTCTTCTTCTTCTTCTTCTTCTTCTTCTTCTTCTTCTTCTTCTTCTTCTTCTCTTCTTTCTTCTTCTCTTCTTCTTCTTCTTCTTCTTCTTCTTCTTCTTCTTCTTCTTCTTCTTCTTCTTCTTCTTCTTCTTCTTCTTCTTTCTTCTTCTTCTTCTTCTTCTTCTTCTTCTTTCTTCTTCTTTTCTTCTTCTTCTTCTTTCTTCTTCTTCTTCTTCTTCTTCTTCTTCTTCTTCTTCTTCTTCTTCTTCTTCTTCTTCTTCTTCTTCTTCTTCTTCTTCTTCTTCTTCTTCTTCTTCTTCTTCTTCTTCTTCACCTCTTCATCCTTTTTATTATTCTCATGTTGTGCTGTGGTTTACAGAAAAACTACGCCTTCCGGTCCAATACACGCCCTGTTAGCAAATTCCTAAATAATTCCTATTTACGATGCTCTTGTTAGAAGACTGTGATTACACTCGCCTCGGCGTTTATACTCTCTTTTTCAGTGGGACCGGGAACCATACAAGCACAGTAAAAAATTATAAACTATACAACGTAAATATTAAAACATGTTAAAGCAGTAGGTAAACAAATGTCACAACAATAGTGGAACCCCACACTGACATTAGATATGCATTATTCGACAAAGTAATATTATATTTTCAACAAGGTGTATACACAGAAGAAATAGTAGTATAAAGATACTTAAGGATTGGTAATACTTCTGGTTATACCTGACAAACATAGGGTGATTGTGAAGGTTTCTGGCTACGCTGAATACTCTCTGACATGACAATTCTAAGTTCACCATTAGCACTTTTGGCTTTTTATCAATTTATTTTTCTCACAAATTGTAATTGCGCACTTAAAAATTATATTGGGAGTTGGAAATTGAAAGAGTAGTGTAACGCCATGACTCGGGCAATATTTGTAGTTAAAAATCAAACCAAAGTATTTCAGGATCCTCGCCGGTGCTACGAGGGTCGTGTACTGCGATGAGATTCTTCAGACTTAGACTTGAGTTAAGAGGTAGAACGGAGCACTTATGGGTTACACCTTGTGACAGGATGTTGATCTGTTGTTTAAACCTGAACCTAAACCAGGCGCATAGGAAGTTTGGAAAGATTTGGGGGGGAAAGGGGTGGGGGGATTTGAAATTGAGTTACTTTATACTTCTAAAAATCAGGATTTTGAGCTTTCACAATCGTGAAAATGGAAGGCCGGTGTCAGCTTGATGTGCAGCATAAAATAGTAGATATCGTCAACAATGTCAACCATCACATTAATATTTGGACACGGAATTGCCAGTTGCTGTTGATGGTATTTGTTGTTCTTTGACAAACTGAATTATGTGCGCGATTTTCTTCAAGTTCTTTTTAACAGACAGGATTTTCCTTTTCGTTCTCCTCTTTTTTAATCGCATTTTCTTATGTTGTGGGGGTAGGTGTGAATAAAAGGAACGGGAAGGGGGTCCTTGCCATACACTCAAAGGAAGGGGGGGGGGCCCTCACATTATACTCAAGAGGGGGGTGGGTGCCTCACCTGAAAAAAGGTTAGAGATCACTGCTATTGAGTTTGCTGGCTAAAATAAAGAAACATATTACCATGCAATACTGGCTGTAATTATTTTCAAATTTATGCAGATTATACACAGCTTTTGTTCTTCTAGAACAATGGGCGAGCTTAATGTATTTTTTTAAATAATGTTTTTGACTATTATGCATTTCAAAGCTGCTTTCATAGCTTTAGAAAATCATTTTTTCTCCTAATAGTTGGATTATAAAAGTAGCGGTATACCCGTGTGTTTCAAGAACAAAGCCCTGAAGATATTTAATTATGCTTATCGACTTAACGAACAAAGATTATCTCTGCAACACTTAACAACTCGAATGTGATCTCAATCATACAAAAACAGATTATTTGAAATTTACAATATCGTTAATTCCATTAATTATTCTGCAAAACAATAACATTGTCAAATGATCGTAACAATGACTTAGTCTTTATGCCTCATGTGAAATCCGTTGGCCATCATATCTTACGAAACACAATGACTTGATTTAGAGAACTGAGACTTGGTTCCAGATCCAGACAGAGAGATTTTGTAACCAGGGCATCGGGAGATTTAGGAATAGATTTCAGAACTGAGACGTGGGTTCAGATCCAGAGGAAGGGGTCTGTAACCAGAGCATCGAGAAAATTAGGAATAGATTAGAGAACTGATACGTGGGTTCAGATTCAGACGGAGGGGTTCTGTAACCAGGGCATCGGGAGATTTAGGAATAGATTTCAGAACTGAGACGTGGGTTCAGATCCAGAGGAAGGGGTCTGTAACCAGAGCATCGAGAAAATTAGGAATAGATTAGAGAACTGATACGTGGGTTCAGATTCAGACGGAGGGGTTCTGTAACCAGGGCATCGGGAGATTTAGGAATAGATTAGAGAACTGAGACGTGGGTTCCGATCCAGGCGGAGGGGTTCTGTAACCAGGGCATCAGGAAATTTAGAAATGCATTAGAGAGGTGAGACGTCGTTTCAAATGCAGACGGAGGGTTCTGTCACCAGGGCATCGGGAAAATTAGAAAAGATTAGAGACTCGATTCAACTTTAGATGTGATTACGCAGAGAAGCCCTCAAATTTACATATGTTTTTCCAAGTAGGTATCATAACTTGTCTATTTTAATGTGCAACTTTTAAGACTATCACTATTTACGTCCACACTTATCGACATTTGCGTGTTTATTTATAATAAACGTCTACATTTAAAAAAAAAGACTATTTTAAAAATTTATGTTATAATAATACATATCCCTTTTGAAAGTAGATGAGGTAAAAAGTAAGTAAAGGACCTTTTACAATAGATTTTAAACACCTAAACTGCAAATTGTGGAAATGCATGATCGCCATGCCAGTCGGCAGGACACCTGATGATGATACTACAAAACAGAAAATCCCCGTGTCTGTCTTGTTGTCTATAAAAAGAACCCCATAAAAAAAGAGAAACGGCAGCCTTGTAACATTTGCACATGGTTCCCAGGTGTAGGTCACCTTTTCATTTTTTCAGCCTGCCTTTCACTATAAACATTATTATTGATTTTTTAAATTCATCTTTGACTGTAATTTGCAATCAAAATTATTCAGATGTTGCTACCATCACTCTAATTCAGATGTTGCTACCATCACTCTAATTCAGATGTTGCTACCATCACTCTAATTCAGATGTTGCTACCATCACTCTAATTCAGATGTTGCTACCATCACTCTATTTCAGATGTTGCTACCATTACTCTAATTCACAGACTTGGATCTAGGTCTGTTGCGGATGATCAAGAGGCTGTAAATATTTTATTTTTTTGGGGGGGGGGGGGGATGGGCAGAGAGTTATTTTCCCTAATTTGTATCTATTTGTGTGTAATTTGTAAATTTAGCATGAATCCTCAAACACTAGTCTACACTGTCCAGCATTACCAACCTGTTTCGGTAACATTGACTCCACTGATATGATGACTAAAATTAATTATCTTCTATACTTTAAAACAGAAAATACACGTGTCCATCGGTCTGTGTGTCATTGTACCGCCCAACGGCGCTAAACAGCAGAAGTGATTTGTGAAAATATTGATAATGGTGACAACGTTTTTCAATTTCATTGTCTGTACCATTTTGTATGTTTTTAAACAAATTAAAAAGAGGCAAATAACCGTGAAAAAAAAGAGAGTAAAATGTTACATAATGGCGAACTGGAACACGACCAGAGAAACAATCGGAATCGAGCATAACAATTGTGGACATGAGGCATTACAATTTGCTATAAACACTGAATCATAGAAATAAATAGCTTACTGGTTATAAACTTTACAGAAATATTACGTTTATAAAGGATGATAAACAGAACTTTTAACATTGACATCTTTAAAAGGATTTCGCTATTTATGCCTTCGACTGAAATATTTCTAAACCAATAGTTAAAATTACAGTTCCAAAAACAGCTGCCTCTTGTCTTCGTTTCGAAGTGATTTCTATCCATTGAAGGTATACCACCACGATTCTTCTACCAATGAATATTGAAAGACTTTGCTCCACGTGCATTTGCCAGAATATACCTGTGTCGGTTACATGTCATCAGAACACAACAGAGCAGCGACTTTGTCAATCGTATATCCATTTAGCAACATATACGTCATATATATATAAACTGTGCCATTTGATGGGTAATGTGGTCAACATGACACCGACCGTTTTACTTTCCAGGACTTCATCTGGTACCCAATGTCACCTATGGGGGGAGGAAATTCGGCTTTTTGTGGATTTGATCCACGACATTCAGATCCGCAGGCGGCGATTAGCCGCTATATACTACGGCGGCTCCATCAGTTTATTGTCCACTGTTATTGCATTTTGATTTTACTCCATGGATAAAGAGCAGGTTGGCACTCACAGATCTCCCTGCAACACATTGGAATTTGTTTTTTGTTTCATCAATTCAAACAAAAAACACCAAAATTATCCACTTAGGTGATTCAGTGGGCACTGCGGCCAGTATCGGTCAATGCCGACGCTTGTCCGTGCCGACTAGAAGTAGAATTAGTTGAAGTAGAAGAATCTGTTTCTGAAAATAACATTTCAAGGTATAACGGCACCTGAATGTCTTTGGTTAACTTCATGATGTCCGGTTTCAAGTTGGACATGATTTGTCTGCCATAGAACGCCAGTCCTCGGAGATCTGTCAACACGGTCACAACTCGAGCGTAGAATTGCCAGGGAGACGTCATGCGGCGCCAGAGGCTGAGAATGAGGCAGCAGTGTAGACGCCAGTACATCCTGTCTACTTTTTCAAAGTCTTGGATTTTGTCACGGTCTGGTGAGGGAAAAAAAAAAAAAGAACATGGTTCAGATAAAAGCTTTTATTGGAGTAAATACGTTTATTAATTCATTCGGTGGCAGATGACTGCTATTAAACGAACTGACTTCAGATGAAAATCTTAACAATTGTAAAAAAGTAAAATCAGGAGATGTGGACCAGATGAAAAATGATGTATATTTTTGTATAAGTCCTCATTATTTATATCTGCACATTTGTTTTCGATCAGATCATCAAAACTAATTTTATTTAGCACGTCTGCTTCTATACTTAACAGATAGACGACATCCAGCTTACCTTGTTGCATTGATGTTCTAATGTTATTTTTAAATATACTTCAGTTCAGTTAAAGAACGCACAACTCTAAGACTAGAGAACATTTATATGGTGCCCCCTCCCTTCGTGATGACCTAAGCGCGTGCTTAGTGTGCTTAATGGGCAACCCGTCCCTGCAGATGGTAATTGACCTGCATGTTGAATTAGGAATCGACATCAGAGTACTTGGGACACCCCGATAAGTGCTCCGTCCCCATCTTCAGCAGCAAGCAAAGAGTTACCATTTTTATGGCACCAATAACTGTTTGACTGTATATCTGTCCCGCCTTTCCCCTATGTGTTGACCGCTGGTCAAATCTTGTAACTTCTCGCAGCGCCATTTTTCCCAGACCGTAATGATCTATCTGTGTCTAAGCACTGTTCTATCGCTTCCAAAGAGCTCTCACAACATCCACCTTGTCATTCATCACTTCATCACCAAGCGGTGAAGAACCGGCCAGTCTGTCTGGCTGCTCATTTCTTACTACACCGGTATAATATGAAGAAAATGTCCAAAGGAAGCTAACTACCCGGGACATTCAAAGTGATGCTTGCCACTCTGCACGGAGCATGCCTGTCTCAACCTTTCTCAACATTCTCTGCGAATCAGTTACAATTACGGCATGTGTCTACAGCTGATTATCAGGCCAGCGGAAGGCAGCAGTGACTGCCTTCACTTCCATTCTCAAATTAGGCCTTGTGATATCATATGCCAGGCTTTTCTGCACAAAGCGACGTCCATTCGCTTTTGCTATGAACCCCCATGCACTTCGTCTGTCCCTCAACACAGAGCCATCTGTTTCTATAATCACACTACCTGGGCGAGAATTGTCATTAATTATTTGTTGAACTTCTGATTCTGCAGCACAAGTTGGCCAGTCCTTGCACTCACAACTCAAAGTGATAAGATCCCTACAAAAGTCTGAAAATTGCTCGGACACTTTGACCCACTCCTCCTCTAGTTCAAATGTGTCGAGTTTGCACACATATCTAATCGTGTCTTCAGTGCAAGTATGCATCTCATAAATACTACGGGGGTATCTCTTGTACATCCTAGAATTACCCGCATGTCTTCATTCTGTATACTTTCCAATTTGTGTTTGACCTATACGTGATAAACCCAATGACACAATGATGTGTTCAACAACACGCCAGCCGCCCCTAATCCCAACAAGAAAGAATAATTACATTTCATATACTAATTTTAGTTAAGACTAGGAAGAAGAAGACCAATCTATTTCTACTTCACTTCCTATCTGCCTTTCTTTTCTTTTTTTCCCCTTTTTTGTGTCGAAAAGATACACTGTTTTTTGCCTTTCTGGTTGCATCGACCACAGACATATCGCATTTTTGTTGAGTTTATGTGGTTATTATTCCATATTTTTCTTACTCTGCATCGGGGTCTGTGTCCCTCTCCACTTTTGGTTTATGCATTTAGCATTTTCTCGTAGGCAAACTATTTAATTCGCTTTTGCTGTATGTGGTTTAATGTTAGTGCTATGTCGATTTCTTCCTTCTTGTGGCTTTATTCCTAATTTTATCTCTTCTGGTAGCCCCTGTGGTTGCTTTCAAACGGTTGATTTACATCGTTACTAATACAGTTTTGTGTTCTATCGTGATTGATCGTGTCCGTCACTGCTAGCATAAGCAAAACGTTAGCAGTAAAATATATTTTAAGCCATGGGGTACAAGATGTTAGAAATATGTTTATAAATTTAATTAGAAATTAAGGTCGACAGGATCGACTTCTTTGCACCTGATGTCACCCCATCTGGTTTGGTCTCACCTCAGTACTGCTAACCGCCTGCTGCGAACGTCGCACACAATTAGAGTGTATTTCAAAAGCCAACCCCTGGTTGGGAGCAGCAGTTTTACAGTCTAGGATTTAGTAATGGTGCTAATGTTATAGCAGGAACCGTTAACACACAATAAATACAGAATACAATTGTAAACGAGGGTCGCCGTGGCGAAGCGACTAGACGCTCGCATGCGGATCATAGGGTCATAGGCTTCCCGGACTTTTTTTCAAAAATGACCTTGACTCCTAGCTTGACCCAGCCTTCAGTGGGTACCGGATACAGTCCCGGGAAAGTAAAGGCGGCCGACGTGATGCTGACTACATCAATCATCTTGTGCCGATTGGTCTATAAAAATATAGGTCGAACCCTACATGCCCAATACGCCTAAAGGCGTGGAAAGGAGACCTTTACTTTACTTACAATTGTAAACAACATGTTTGAAGAGAACTGGTAACGAATAATATTAAACAAGATACTTGTAAAATAACCCTCGTCAGCGAATCGGAATGTCGTGGGTTGGGATCTTAACAGGGCCGAAAATATTTTTTTTTTTAAATTACCTTGGCGTTTATTTGACCTAGTCGTGAATGGATATCAGGTACAGTAATAGGAAGCAAAGGCGACTAACGTGATGTTGACAACATCACTTACGCAGTGCCGATTGGTTTATAAAATATAGGTCTACCGCTATATGCCCTATATGCCAGAGGGCTTGGAAAAGGGTCCTTTAATTTATTTGTAACCAACTGTTATATCATAAAACAGTCAACATCATGCTGGGTGGTAAATTAGCTGCTAACGTCGATACCTCAAAATATCTCGGCCCTTTTCCACTCTTTCTCTTTCTCTCTGTTCCTGAATGTTTGTTGGTTTTCTTAATTAAAAAAAAAATAATAATAATTAATCAAGTTATACACAGTGTCGCTACTGCTTGGGAAAACCGGCTTTAATCCTCTGAAAATATCCCCCCCCCCCCCCCAAAACCAACAACAGCTCGAAGGTAGGAAACCCAACTTCGGGGGAGATTACAGCAAACCATTAAAGAAGAAATTCTTACCTGGTGATGTAATACTAATGGCTTTCAGCAAGAGCGTTTCTTCAAACGACAGCTTGAGCTCCATCAGTCTCCTAGAGATAGCCAACATGTCCAGCATGTGGTCTTCCATTTCCGGGATCATCAGTTTCATGACATCCATGCTGATGGCGTACTTGTGTTCAGCATCTAGTATGACTTGCTTCTCCAGGTTGACGCCCCGGTAGCAGCTCAGAATCACATATTCGTACAGGCAGGCTGCAGGTGATACAGAGTCATGGTACATTACTCAGTGATCTAACATACGAAGGAAAGTCAATAAATAAGCTACAAATTGTTATGGGATGGCAGGAAAATGTAGTTGGTAGTTTCTGAAGGTGTCACAAAGCAAGAAACTGAAGACAGTATGATAACCAAGAGAAGGCGGAAATGGCTTGGCCACGTTATGATAATTAATCTGTATATGCCTGCCAAAACAGCTCTCACATGGACACCAGAGCGAAAGAGAAAGAAGGAGCACCCCAAAATAGACATGGAGACGAACGGTGAAAAGCGAACAGAGTGCGACATCTCTGACATGAAAAACTGCACTAAAGATTGCATAGGACAGAAAATCATGGAAAGTCCTCTCTCAAGCCGCATGTCGATATTAGGCATACGGAGAAGTGATGATGATGAAAGGAGTCATCAGGTGACATCAGCAACAACAAACTTTATGACTACGATTGTAGGTTTCGCTAGTGTTGCACGCGCATTCGCAACACAAATAAAATGACAACGGTACTTACGAAGTTTGTGCGTTAGTGTGTGTTGTGTGTGTAGGGAAGAGGGGGTTGGGGGGGGGGGTGCCTGAAAAAAAAGCAATCATAAGGAAATGCTTCCTGTTCCTGCTAACGAATGTTTATCCCGTAAAGCAGTCATAGCTGAGATGCAATTCGAATTAATATCCAGACCTGCTGATTAGAGGAGTACTGCTCCTTCGTGACAATGCCCGACCACAAACGGCTCGGTTAGGAAACCTAACTTTTTAGGGTGAGAGCTTCAGAAACATCCACCTCAGCCTCTTGGATTTCCACCTTTTTGGTCCACTGAAAACACATTTTGACGGAAGATGTTTCGCGACTGACGCAGATAAGTAAGAATAAACTCACAGGGAGCAAGTACAGCGGGGATCTACCAGTCATCAGTAGAAATTATCCTCTGTCGACACACGTTTCGGCCCACGATTCCTAAACGTATTCGGAGGTGGGCCCACCTGAGTTCATGAAGCTCAGGGCTGGTTCCCCGCTGCACGGAATAACCGGATGGTGTTATACTTTCGGCCAGAGACAAGACGACTTGGTGGTTTCGAAGGAGGTACTTGTCTCAACAAGACGTGAAGCATTTTAAGGATTTTCGGGCAACGCTTGTAAAAAACGTACGGAACACCGTTCGGAACTGGGGCAGACTTGCCGCTGGCCTTTTTCACAACGTCCTCAACCTCAGACCAAAGGAGAGGTACCATTTTAAATGGTACCTTCGGCACCGAAGGCTGTTTTAGACCGCTAAGGATCTCTGGATTGTCATCGAGAGGCTCTCTCCTCTTTTTATCCGAGTACATCTTGCGTAGATGTAGCTCTAGTTCTTCCTGACTGACAACCAGAGTCCCAGACTTCGGTTGCTCGAATAGACCTCGGGCGAACTGATACGGGTCCCTAAAGAATTTCTCTCGCTCCCTTTTGGTTCTCCGTCTGTTGTTACAGAAACGCTCGGCGCGACAGAGGGCACTGTGTTTGTTCTTTAAATGAACCCACACTTCATACAGCCCCTCCCGTTCGCTGCCTGTAGCGGCTTTGAACCGTTTTCTGAGGGCATTCTTGTCTGCCCGACACTTCAGAATGTCCCTCTGCCTCCTGCTAGTATTCTGCTTGGCACCCGGCTGTGCCTTTACTACTGTCCCGAACTCGCGGGAGCAGTGTTCATATATTACATCACCAAATTTAGTAAGCTTGTCGCCTAGCGACTTCTTGTTTAGAGTTTGTTTAAGTACCTCACATAATGTAACCTCCAACTTACACCACACCACCTTCTCGCTCGCAGGTGGAAACCTGATTCTGGAACGCACTTCTTCAGAAATCATCAAAGGTGCTCCTCCGCAGTCGACGTCATGGGCCTCTCCGGGCGAGTGGGGTTCACCCTGCCCGTCGTACCCTGACGACTCAGAAACTACCACAGGAGTGGTAGTTTTGCGACGGCGTTTACTGTGTGGAGCACCCTCGCATTTCGTTCTTCCGGCATGCGTTCTCAGACCATGCAACCCCGTGAAGCTTTTCCCACATGTACAGAGCCAGCCCGGACGTTGGGCGAGTGTCTCAGTCCGGGAGCTAGCAAAGTCGTCACCGAGGGTATCAATCAGATTGGGCCCTTCATTCTCCCCCCCCCCCCCCTTTCGGAGGGCCCTGGGGGCATATTTCATTGTGGTCGTACGAAATCGGAGGTATTATACTGTGTTAGGGGTGATCAACCCGGTCCACAGTCGACGTCTGTCTCCAGATGTCAGTTTATCCCCCCGGCGATACCGGGGGGCCAGTCTTTCCATAGGTGTCAAAAGGACTTTCCCGATAGTCACCAGTCTTTCCTGGTAGTCTTGTGGGCTAGCCACGTACAATAAGAATAAACTCACAGGGAGCAAGTACAGCGGGGATCTACCAGTCATCAGTAGAAATTATCCTCTGTCGACACACGTTTCGGCCCACGATTCCTAAACGTATTCGGAGGTGGGCCCACCTGAGTTCATGAAGCTCAGGGCTGGTTCCCCGCTGCACGGAATTACCGGATGGTGTTATACTTTCGGCCAGAGACAAGACGACTTGGTGGTTTCGAAGGAGGTACTGTGAGATAAGAAGCCGCCGCGACAGCGTAATTAAAACAGTCCGCATGCCTGGACGACCGAGCGACAAGCTTACTTTGGTTTACCGGACACATGTAGTTGCTTCATGCGTCCCCTTTACCACATAGTAAACTACTCTGAAACCCACATAGAAATTAGGCATAGAGAGTCGGTGTCTTTTCGGATATGTTATGACAAGGAATGAATTTAGTGACGACCAGACTGTTTGAAAAGAGCAATGAATACCATAGCCATTTGGATGTTGCAAGTCAAGACAACTGACCTGATTAGTGATTCAGGTGATCTAGTGAGATGGCGAAACATGTCAGGCAATGCTTATCAGGATGGTACAGGATGATGATGATGATCCAGTAACATCATTAAACAATATGAAGAAGATCAATTAATAATAAGGTTATCACGAAATTCAGTCGTCCGATACTTACATTTGGCGAGAACTATTTTATCCTCGTGACATACGTCTTTGAATCCCGGAACAGATCGAAAGAAGCGAACTGTTTTCTGCAATGTTCTGTTCAATATTTTCGCGTGTGTCTCCGTCCAGTCTCGTCTGCCCCCGACATCAATCCCCGTTGCTTCCAGAATGTTGAAGTAGGCCTCTCTGTCCATGCCAATCAGCTTGCCATAAGTCTGCTCTCTCAGTTCTAGGATATCCTAAAAATACATCAATCAATCAGTTAGTCAGTCAGCAGGTTTTTTAAATAACGTCACCCTCATCCCAGCACATCACAGGATCCTAGCCGGTGCTACGGAGTTCGTGTAATGCGCTGAGATTTGTCGGACTCAGGCTTGAGTTTGAAGTAGAACGGAGCACTTATGGGCTACTACCCTTGTGACTTGATGTTGATTCTGTTGTTCAAACAATTCAATGTTGTTCAACCAGCATGTCTGAAAGTCTCCCAGTCTCTCGCCAAACTTCCATCTCTATGTGCTTTCATAGCTAGTGCATCTCCATTGTCTTGTATCCACATTCGCGGAGGTGTGCCTCTGCGTCGTTTCCCGGAAACTGTAACCTCCGTCACTGTTCTGTCCAAGGCATGAGGTTTAACATGGTTAAAATACTTCAGCTTTAGTTACAGAATGCTGTTTATGAGCAAATTTTCCCTGATGTTCAGATCATGTAGGATGTCGGTGTTTTTGAAATGACATATACCTTAGAATTCGCTGTCTGTCGGAAATAAAGGGGGCATTAATGGCCAGAAAAAAAGGTGGAAATATTAGGCCGGAAATAAAGGTGAAATTATTAACCGTTTTAGTGTTATCCTCTCAGTCTACCTAGGGTAGTGGTTCACAACCTTTCTAATGCCGCGACCTGTTAATACAGTTCCTCATGTTGTGGGGACCTCCAACCACACGATTATTTACTCCCTACCTCATAACTTCCATGAACATGTGTTTTGCGATTCTCCTTGGCGACCCGTGTGAAAGGGTCGTTCGATCCCCCAAAGAGAGTCGCGACCCATAGTTTGAGAACTGCTGACCGAGAGCTTTATGTCCCTATCCTCTGTTTGAATTCCTCTACATGCGGGTGTTGTATTCAGAATGTATTATAAAGTCATTTATTTTACATTTATTTGTATAGGGAGCTGCCGCAGTGTATCGGCTCGACGCTTGCCTGAGGATGGAAAGGTCGTAGGTTCAGATCCAGACGGAGCCAGACATTTGTTTTCCAGAAATGACCTTAGCAGCTAGTTCCACGCTGCCTTAAATGGCTACGAGATGCAGTGATTGGAAGTAAAGGCGGCGCACGTATTGTTGACCCCATCACCCACCGGGTGCAGACTGGTCTATAAAATATAGGTCTAGCCCTATTTGCCCAATGCGTCTGAAGGTGTGGAGAAGGGTCCTTTTGCTATTATTATTACTAAACCTAGTCCTTCTCTTGATTTTCAACCGCTTTAGGTGTCGAGTGAAATAAAGATTCTGGCTTTACGTTTTCTTACAGTTTCGACTTTTACCATTTGATTATGTTGTTGAATCTCTTTAACCAGTGGCTCCCAATTTTCCTAATGCCGCGACCTTTTAATACAGTTCTGCATGTTGTGGCGACCCCTAAACAAGTATTATCCTTCATAAATTCAATGAATATGTGTTTTACCATGGTTTAGGCGAGCCATGTGAAGGGGTCGTTCGACACACAAAAAAGGGTCGTGACCGGCAGGTTGAGAACCGTTGTCTTTGATGAAATCTTTCACGGTCTCCTCTTTTAGTATCTGCCCCTTCTAGCGAAGAGTCGTAATACAGTAAATACCGTCTCATTGTGGAGTGCATGGAAATGGAAATGATAAAGCTGATCAACCGGCAGGGGAAGGTGCGAGAAAAGTTCAGCCGGATTTACCAGTCACAAACCACCAAAAGAAAAGAATCATTAAATCGACCAGAAAACCACCAGTCCCAGCACAAGACGACTGTTTTATTATGGACAGACCAGAACAAGGCATTATCTTCCGCCTCATAACAGGGCACAACTGATTACGTAACTACATGTACACAAAATTCAAGATAGGCGTATCAGCCATGTGCACCTGTGGAAAGGTGCCCCAGACAGCAGAGCATGTGCTAGAGGACTGCACCGAATTTGACACATTAAGGCAAACCTTTCGGTCAGAAAGAACAACAGTGGAACGTAAACTCTATGGACCACTGAATGAACTAACAACGACAGTGAAATTTATACAAGAGACAAATTTGCTGATGTAGACAACTTATTTCAGGCGAAAGAAAGAAGAAGAAGTATCTGCCCTGTATGCAGGACCGTATTAATGATACATGACGCCTTTTTGTAGTCATTTATTGTGACCCTTTCTTGACATATTAAATTATTTTATCAACTAAATATAATTTCACCGTCATCAAGGGCCTTGTTGACTGGCGCGGGCGATTATGCCTCTCCACCATCTGCGATCCGCAAATGCTTGTATCAGTGTGTTGAAATTCGTCTATGCCACTACAAAAGGTTGTCAAGAATCATCGCGCAATGTCTTCCTCTATTTCTCTTTCCACAAATCTTTCCAGTGGTTACGATATGTTCCATTTTCCCTCTTCTCATAACATGACATAAAGAATGATGACTGTCTCTTTTCTGCTTTTTGGTGATAAGCTGTCTTCGAGCACCTGTCTATTTCAAAACATCTGGGTTACACTTCTTAGCTGTCCAAGAAATTCTAATGACTCTTCTGTTTAACCAAATTTAGCTTCTTGTATAGTCTGACTTTCATCTCCCAATGGAGACTGAGATCCTAACCATCACATATAAAAACATGCGTAGACATGTTCTTAACAGATTAGATTTTTTAGCTACAATATTTTCCCATGGAATTAGATATAAAAGAATCAGCTCAGAAAATGGGACTAGTTATCAATCAAGAAAAGACAGAATACATGATGATAATTAGACAGGGAAAGGATGTAAACTCCGGCCACATACAAGTTGATAATATGAAAATCAAACGAACGCAAACATTTTTGGGCGCAAACTTCAACTGCTCCAACATGCTGAGAGAAGAAATACAATCTAGAATACAATCTGGAAACAAAGTATACTATGCTCTTCAACATCTGCTAAAGTCAAAGTGTCTGTCTCGCAACACCAAGATCAAAATATATAAAACTTTGATAAGACCAGTCGTTTTATATGGTTCTGAAACTAAGAGGACAACCAAAAGAGATGAAGCCTTTATTACAGATTTTTGAAAACAGAGTCTTATGACGAATCTTTAGACCCATCAAAGATGCAAACAGCAGTGAATGGAGAATTGGAAGCAACAACGAAATTCATAATCTGTTTAAATCACCACTGATCACTGGCATCATGAGAGCTAATAGACTGAAATGGTTGGGGCATATTGAAAAAATGTCTGATGACAGAGAAGTAAAAACTGTATACACAAGGGAGATGAATCGTCGTAGACCACAAGGCAGACCAAGAAGAAGATGGAGAGATAATATCCAGACACACCTGCAAACACTTGGTGTCATCAACTGGAAAGAGAAGGCCAACCAGAGAGGTAAGTGGAGGCGGGTGATTTCTGCAGCAATGAACCTCAAGGGCTCGGCATGCTGAAGAAAAACAAGATGGAATTAGCAAGCCTGGCGCCACCGTTTTTTTTTTTTTTTTTTGGGGGGGGGGGGGGGGGGGTTGAAACTAATTTTTTTGTTTTTTTTTTAAATGACAATATTATCATATAGCTTTTCGCATTGTGTTCCTGGACCCCATAAGGGAAGGGATGCGGTGTTGAGACCCCCTCAGACAATCATGTAATAAATTATGCACGTTTCATTCGAAGTCAGAGGGCATCTGCCTGACAACAGTTTAAATACAAATAGGGCAAATTTGTAAAACGGATGTGCACGGAAATCCCAAGTTCTGGAACAAGACCAAAGTGAATGAGCATCTATAACGTTTCACTGAAGTTCACATCTGTGTTGTGTGTGTGTGTGTTTGTGTGTGTGCGCGCGCGTGTGTGTGAGTGTGTGCGTGTTTGTGAGTGTGTTTGTGTGAGTGTGTGTGTGTGCGTGTTTGTGAGTGTGTTTGTGTGCGTGCGTGTGTTTGTGTGTGTTTGTGCAGTCGTGTGCGGTAGATTGTTTCAGTATGATGCACGTCTTCAAAATGCCGCCCCTAATACCCTCGCGCTTTCAGATTAAAAGTTTAAGAATCAAGAAACCATACCTCCGGGGCGACCCAGGGTCCGCTGGGAAGACAACGTCCGACAGTCCCTAACTGACAGAGAAAAGAAAAAAGAGAAAAGTCTGGCAATCTCTCTGGCTAACCACTACACTCCAAGATAGAAGAGGAGCGAATAATTAAGTAAGTAAGGATCTGATCAATGACTTTGCAATTATTTTTTTTTTTTTTAAGGTGGGAGGCGAACAAAAGTTTTCAGATATAAACAAAGTGGAAGTATACAACAATAGACATTATTTTTGATCTTATTGTAAGTTGTTTTTTTCGATAGATACAATATATTTTACGGCTGAGTATTTTTATTGTTTTGAATTACATATGTGGGAATACCAGTTCCATCTTAACACATGGGCCCGCTAGAGGCGTGTGAGGAGGCGCACAAACACAGGGACTAATCTATGTATGTCAAGTCATAATTTTCAATTTCATTCCTTGAGTGGTTGTCATAGAGTCTCATTACACAGCTTTGTCTTCTTTTTTTTTTTTTTAAATCAATATCGTGTGTGACGTTGGTAGTCATGTTTGTCCACAACCTTCTGTTTCGTGTACTTTCAGTCAACTCTGACACAGATGGTTCTCTATGTCATGATGGCAGACTGTCCAGCATCTGTTCCCTCTGCCTCTCCTTGTCTCCAACATTCCTGCTCTCCTACTTCAGTTTTCTGCTTCTCATCACATGACCAAAGAATTTTGATTGTCTCTTTCTGAAATGGGCAATCAGTTCTCGTCGTGAGTCAGTTTCTTTCAAGACATCCTCATTATTCTTCTCATCTTTCCAGTGCATTCCCATTATTCGTCTAGTAAATCACTGGTTTACCTATGGGCCCATAATGCTATTAAGTCAGCTCGGTAGATGTTAGTAGGGGGAGGGTTAGGACGGCACAAACACCTTGTGCTTAGGGCATCAAGCGGTCCCAATGCAGCCATTGCTGGGACTCGGCCCCTCAACGAATTATGGGGGTCTGGAGGCGGGGAGAGAGACGCCATTAAGGAGCCTGATCCGTTCAGGTTTCGAAGCATATGCCCCGATATAAAACGTGTAACAAGAAAAACAGAGCAGAAGTCCTGACACCCCCACCCCCCCCCCCCCCCCCCCCCTAATAGCCGAGACAAGCTATTTGACATTAGTGCCCGATGGCCTACGTGATTGTTACGTCACCTTTGCAAGGTGAAACCGTTTTAATCAGAAGGATATGTTTTTTTATGAAGGTACCCTTGGCGAAGTGGTTCAGCCACTTGACTCTGAATTGTCGTTCGATTTTGGCAGAAACAAAACTGCTAGAACATAAACGCATCTGTTATTGCTTTATAAATAAACAACAGACAACTGAAATGTTATGGCCAAATTAAAAAAAAAAAAAACATTTTTAAAAAGTTTGCTGCTTATCCTTTACAGCACGTGTGTATGTGTGTTGAACCCTCTCATGACATCCCTCACTTTTCGCTTTTCTGCTTCTCTCTTCCTCTTGTTCACACACACGCACTCTTTCTCCGTATGTCTCTCTTTCATCAGGCACAAACACACACACACACACACACTTATATTCTCTCATCTCAACTTGATAATATATATATATATATATATATATATATATATATATATATATATATATATATATATATATATATATATAAAGTTCACGTCAGTCACACCTTGGTCATGTGATGCTAGGTAGGTCCATTTAAGTTGTTTTTTTTATAAATCAGTCAGCACCCGAAGGGTGAACTCATCTCTCTCTCTCTCTCTCTCTCTCTCTCTCTCTCTCTCTCTATATATATATATATATATATATATATATATATATATATATATATATATATATATATATATATATATATATATATATATATATATATATATACATACATATATATATATGTGTGTGTGTGTGTGTGCGCGTGCGTGCGTGTGTGCGTTATTTGTGTGTCTGAATTAATGACTGTATACATACTTCGTGTTTGTGTAAACTAGTATATTTATGAAATTTATTTTGAATATTACTTGAAATATAAACTATAAGAGACTTAGAAACGAGGTCGTTTAGAAGCATCGCCAATGCCAACGTTAATAACTGAGACCAAAAGGAGTTGACTGTATTTCATCCTTTATACTGAAGTAATTGCTAGGATAGAACGGAACTGAAGAATAAACTAGCTTAAAGTAACGTATTAGGCACAACAGTGCGATAATGATGATCGGCGACTTACCAAGAAAGACTTGAGTTTCTCAGCGATCTCTTCATCAGAGAGCAAGTGTGAATCAATGACAACGTGCTTCTGGTAAGCAGTTTTCAATGACATGACAACCTCGTCAAGTTCTGCCTCGGTAAACTCACACCACGGCAGTGGTTTGCTGTTGTAGTCTTCCTCATTTTCATGCAGCCTTATTTTGCTCTCCGGTTTGCCTTCTTGCTCTATAGGCCGAGGAGTTTCACCGCCCAGTGAGAACGGAGTCCATTTTTCTAAATGTTCATCATCGTTGCTGACTTCTGAAGACAGTGTTGGTAGGTGTTTTGTGTTTTTTGGTGAGTCATCTTCAGAGTTAGCTGACATTTCCTGTGACTGAAGAGCCACGTAACTGATTAGTTTTCCTGTTTTCTTAAATTGTGTAGTGTTCTCATAAGGAATATTAAGGAAATTCAAAGGTTCCTCTGATTCCTCTAAAGCCATGGTATCTGAAAGCTGAGAAATGATCGCTGGACCCTTCTTGATAGACGACATGTCTAAATCATCAGATGTCGAAAACAAAGAAGACGGTGAACCTAGAGGCAAAGAACTATTAATTAACAGTCCTGATAAGCCATAAGAGTTTTGTGAATCCTCAACAAAATGTCTTTCCGGGCTGGTTCCGCCCACTGTCAAAGCTTCTTCACATTCAGACAATGAGGACTTACAGTCAGAAAGTGTTTGTTGATCTGAAGGTACAGCCGGAGAAAATCTGGTGTCCAAACTGTAGCTTTCAATAGAAGAATCGCTGCCTTGTCTTTCACGGTAGTAACTGCCACTGAAGGTCGGAGAGCTGTAGGAGGTGCACGACTGGTTTATGTCGCTTTCAAACTGAAAATGTTCTTTTTTATGGTCTATACTGTTGTTAAAAGATACATCTTTCGACTTCAGCCTAGTCTCATCCAAATCCCAGTATGAATTGTTACTGAACTCTGGTAACAGTGGCCCTGCATTCCATGCTTTCTCTAGTCGAATAATATTGTTGTTGGGAGGAAAACATGCAGTAACATCTTTGTTATTTGATGATTTGTTCTTCTGAGGTGTTCTGGATTTATCAGTAACAAAATCGCTACCAGGACATAAAAAGTCATCGCCAAAGCTCATGTCATCCCAGGATAGGCGACGTAATTGTTCTAACTCGTTTGATACGGGTGTGTGCAGATGAAGAAACTGAGTGTTGTGTGCAGGTACGATGTTTTTATTATACGAATTATATTCCTGGATATTGATTGAACAGCCATAAAGTGTGTCTTGTTCTGCGGTGTAAGAAGGAACAGTATTGCTTGCTTGATTACTAAACAAGCTTTCTTTTATAATGACTCTTTCGTCCTTTGACTTGGCATATTCGTCGTCATTGAAGTAAATATTCTCATGCCAACGTTGTTGCTGTGGGTAGCTTTCAAAATCTGCATCATACACATTGTCAGGATATGCCAGGAAACTGCCACTGTCATCAGGAGATGTCACTGTATACAAACTGTCAGCATAATTTGGGAATTCTAGCCACGAGGTAGAGACTGACATTGAAGACTCTCTGGAGCTCGACATGTCAGACATAGGAGATGAAGATGAAACTGGAGGGGACGTTGGCGATGCTTGACAAGATTTGGTCGTTGATGAGTTGAAATAATGCGCAAACTCAGAGTTCTTTATGCCTGAACACCATCCTGCATATATACCATTGCCTTCTGGTAAAGTATGAATCGTATTTCTCTGTGAACCCATTGCGTCGCTCCTTGTAGAATTGTCTTTCAGAACACCTATTTTCTCTTTCTCTAAATTTATCAAATTATTTATTTCAGTCACTGGGAAGACAGTTTCATCTGTGATGTTGCTATCATCAAAAGTAAAAGCGTTTTCTGAGGAAAGTGAAGATTTTGTAGGGGACAGCTCCATGAACTCGTGGCCAGGTTTTCGAAACGCCTCAGATATCTTCTCCAGAGCACAGCTGGAGCGAGATTTCTTAGCAGAAATGTCCAAGTCATCTTCGATGCTTTCTCGTGACATCTTGTAGTCGCCAAACTGTTTACGTTTGACAAAATGATGAAAGTGGTGTTCTATCATTTCGATAATATCGTGGGACTTTTTCACATAAGAATAGCGTCCGGTCTTAATTGCTGCAAAGAGAAAAAGTTACGCTTTCTTGAAATATTATGACAATAATTTATTTCTGATGGTTAGGATACACATTTAATTTCTATTTTCTTTAACAAGTACCAGCTGAAACACATTTAGTCAACTCATTGTTACCTGTATTTAACTGAGTAGAACCACTATAGAAGCTAATACTTATACGAAGAATCATCCTATACGTCACAACAACGCCTCGTTGTTCACTGACACATTTCTGTCCTTCTAGGGGATAGTTTTGCAGTGTGCCGCACAGAAACATGGGAATACAGCCCAAGGTTACTAATTAAGGCCATAGATGACAGTTCTCCTCTCCATAGCAAAACCAGTAATCAGTATTGTAGAGACTACTTGATGGAAGATGCAATTTGTGGAAGGCGAGGCAGGGGTAGACCACCGCGAATATGGAGACAAGACATTGAAGATGCATTGGCATTGAGAGCACATGGGGCCGTAGAGCTGGTTAGGGAAAGTGATACTTTCAGGCGTGCCGTGAAAAGAGCGACGTTCTGTAAAGGACTTGCTCATTGATGAAGAGACCACGTATTGCATGCAGCAAGATTCCTCCCTTGGTCTGCTTTGTTACATTCAAAGGAAAGGTAATATCAACATGTTTGGAGCAAAGCATGCAGCAGAAGCTGCTGTATCAAGAGAGTAATGAACCTTCCTCACTGACTAGCTGCCAATTAAGGCTAAAGACTTGGTCTACCCGGTCATAACATTTAGATTTTAGGTAGGTATTTGCTGGTCATAAAATAAAGCCTGTTATACTGGCATGTATACTTCTGGCATGTGTTTTGTCAGTTGTTTTATTTTTACACAGATGTACATCAATATGTCTCCTTTTTCTTTTGCTTCTTCTTTGCGTTCAACGGCTGTAAACTCAGGTGTGAATGAATGAATGAATGAATGAATGAATGAATGAATGAATGAATGATTGAATGAATGAATGAGATTCAGCTCCATCAGGACATCACATCAAGCGATAAACACCCGTGACACAAAGTGCCACTATGCGGATGATGATCACCTGTGGGGAGGTCCCGGAAATCCCGTTCAGTCGTTAGGCCATGTTAAAGCCCCGGTTATATTTAAAGCCCCCCCCCCCCCCGGCAAAAGCCAGGGTAGGGCTTCAGAATAACTAAAAATTGTATCTCACTTGGGACGACTGTTATAACACCATAATTACTCCAGTGTGATTTTCTGGTTGCTCATCCACTTCTAGATATTTGTCTTTTTCTTAAACCGAAGTTTTTCCTACACAACTATTAAACTGATCTGGTTAATTTGTATCCCAAGCAGATTCACACCGACTTGGGAGAAAACAAGCCTAATTAGTCAACTTTTACGATGCTTGTTAAAAGGGCAGTGAGTCTATTCTTTTCTTCCCACAATAGGGCCCCGGAAATTCGCAATCATCTCCTTGTGAGATGCAGTTTTTCGTTATATTAATGCCCCACCCTGGCTCTTGCCAGGGACAGCAATATAGCCCGGCCATACATATGGTCTAATGGCTGAACGCGGTTTCCGGGACCTCTCCGTGGGTGATCCTCATCCACATGGTGCCACTTTGTGTCATCGGGTGTTTATCGCTTGTGTGATGCCCTGGTGGAGTAAAATCTTCTACTACTACTAGGGCCCCGGAACCGACAAGAGGGAAATAATGCTATGAAATCAAACTAACACCTCCCAGCACATTTTCATAGTGCTTTGTAATCTGCCTTTCAAACAGCTACTCGTACCATAGGAATTAGAACTCCCTGCTTTGTCTGCCGAAGATGGAGACGTAGCACTTGTGGGAAGGTTACAAGTGATGCGATGTCGGTTCTTAACTTATCTCTGCTTTTATCTGCCTATTGTGGTCTTATCTTCTTCTTCTTCTTTTCTCTACTTTTGGAATGCCTCGCAGAGTCCGGGCAGGAAGAGATCTTTGCAACGGTTCCTTATGTTCGCTTCGTATGAGGTATTTTTCGGTGTCTCTGATATTTCTGCTGTCCATGTTCTACGTGGTCGACATCTTGCTCTGTTACCATAATAACTGCATAGCATTGCTCTCTGTGGTGTCCTGTCTGATGCCAATCTTGTTATATCGCCAACCATTTGATTTGTTGTCTACCTATAAAGTTAAGGATTGGTTCTGTACCGGTGACCTTATCGTTCATCCATAAAAATACATCTCTGAAGCCTCAACATGTTTTCTCAGTAAGAATCTGACTGCATGTGGCCCACAGCTATACATTAGGCATGGCTTTTAAAATCACAAGATCATGCTTACCTTCTTTGCTCATGCCAACAGCTAAACACTTATCGTGTCGACATTTTGGACAGCTCTTTCGGCGTTTAGTTTCAGGCCCAATGGTACATTGGCCATTAGCGTTGCACACGTAAGGCTGTTTGCGCACCAAACTTCTTCTGAAGAAACCCTGTGGAATACAGAATGACAGTGTACACATTAGCTAGTTAGTTAGTTAGTTAGTTTAGTTAGTTTAGTTAGTTAATTAGTTAGCTAGTTAGCTAGTTAGCTAGTTAGTTAGTTAGTTAGTTAGTTAGTTAGTTAGTTAGTTAGTTAGTTAGTTAGTTAGTTAGTTAGTTAGTTAGTTAGTTAGTTAGTTAGTTAGTTAGTTAGTTAGTTAGTTAGTTAGTTAGTTAGTTAGTTAGTTAGTTAGTTAGTTAGTTAGTTAGTTAGTTAGTTAGTTAGTTAGTTAGTTAGTTAGTTAGTTAGTTAGTTAGTTAGTTAGTTAGTTAGTTAGTTAGTTAGTTAGTTAGTTAGTTAGTTAGTTAGTTAGTTAGTTAGTTAGTTAGTTAGTTTAGTTAGTTAGTTAGTTAGTTAGTTGGGTTATCATCCTTGCACTCCAGACATCTCCATAGGTGCTCAGATACTCCCCTCCGTATGAACCCCAACGTCCGATGGCAAATAGTACCAGTTCTATGTTGATTAACAGGTCTTTTGGTGTGTCTGGTGTGCGTCTCGTTTTTTTTTTTGCTATGCCGATCTTAATTCCCAAGTCTGCCATTCTGGTGATTGATGTGGATTCACTGCCCCCAAAGTTCTCCATCCTTCCTATTTCTCTGAGGGCATCAATAATATTAGCATGATCCATAGGCTGACCGTCGGTAGTGATAGCGGATCCAGCCAACCTATCAACTCTTTCATTTCCATAGATGCCTGCGTTTCCCGGAACAAAAATAAAGGTGACTCCACGCCATTGTCCTGGCACCGAACCTGCCTGAACCCTCTGGATTATACTCATTGAATCACTGAGTATAAACACGCGGATGTAGTTTTGTGTTTCGAGCCAGACGAACGCTTGCGTCACTGCCATCACCTCCATCGTCATGCTGCTGATTGTCATGGAGAAGGCGCCGTTGGCTTCGCCAGTGTACATATTACTAAAACTGAAGTATTTAGGTCAGCAGAATTCCTAGTCCGCTACATATCGGGTTGAATCGTACTTGTCTGAAGCAATTAAAGAATTTTAATATCCAGGAAGAATTTTCTTGGAGGAGTGAGAATAGATGGGAAACTAGAAACAAGATGCCGACAAGCCAGTGCACTTATGTACCAACTGACACCATTATTAGGATATCTAAACATAAGTATGAGCGCCAAGAAACAGATAAAAAACTGCAGATTCGTATCAACACTGTGCTACCAATGCCAGACATGGGTAATATCAAAGGCTAACCTATGTAACATTAACACCGGTGAAATTAGATGAATAATAAAAGCCGCCAATTTAACCAACCCAGATTAAAGTTAGAAATGATATTATCAGACAGACTGTAGAAATAACACATTGCAGCATATTCACTTATAAACAGAAGATCAAATGGTTCGGTCATTTAGTAAAAATGCAGCTAGAACAACGACCAACGCAGGCGCTACACATGAGAAGATCTGAAGTGGAAGCAAGAGCCCGCTCTGGGAGAACATGGATTGATGACATTAAAGAGCTTCTACGTCGACACGGAAGAAAATAGCAAATGCTGCCCATTAAGCAATGGATCGCAAACTGTTCCTCCACATAACGCTTGATGGCAAAGGTGGAAATTGATAATGATGATCACGATGGTGATGCTGAATGTACATTAGTGTTTAAAAAAACACACAGGGTTTTCCACTTCCCCTCCCACTTGTAATGTGCTAACTTTGATTACTGACTGTAGTCGTATGTATGGAACAGCTTAAAGTAATAGTACTTTGAACAACAATATCCTGTTCGATCTATCGGAGTTATAATTGGTATATACAGAGTATTTTTTTAAAAACCATTTTCTGCTTCTTTTTCTTCGCGTTCACTGGCTGAAAACTCGGGCGAAAGGTTCTGGTTGTTTGTCCATCTCTGGACTTTAGTCTTGTTCCAGAATCGGAGTGTTGTGTGCTCATTCGTTTAACAGGTCTGACTTAACTAATGCAGATGGTTGGTTCCTTGCATCTCAAGCAAATTCACTTCGACTTCGAAGGAAGTTCCCAATTAGTCGACTCTTACGTCATGCACGTAGGTTAAGGCAGTGGGTCTATTCTTGATTCTTCTCACAAAGGGTCCCCACCACCCAAAAGAGAATGTACTATTTGAATAATGGATGATATAAACAATGACACATAATTTTGTATTCACTCAATATTGCATAAGTAAAGTAAAGTAAAGTGAGTAAAGTAACGAGCTCTTTTAACGCAATAGGCATATGGGAAGATCACCCATATTTTTGTTTATCAATCGGCACTAGGTGAGTAATATGGTCTTTACTTCCTCAGGACAGCCATCGTGGTACCCATTTTAGGCTGGGTCGACCTGCGACGTTCCGTACTATGATAAAAATCCAGTAGCCAGCAGTGGGTTTCGATCGCGGTATGTTGGAAATACGAGTCAGTATTGCATAGCTTGTGTATTAATCGTATAAGATTGTAGGAGTATAGGCTGTTAATTTTAAATATTTTTCAATAGTACTTGTCAAACAGTTGAGGAAACTGCACTGTATAATCTCTATTTGCGGATATTTAAAAGGTTTTGCGACACCATTTTTTTGCTCAGGACATATTGGCAACTCTTCAGCTAGCTACCACCGTACTTGTGATTTTAAATCAGTCCCGTACCTCTCTATACCACTGGGACAAAGTATTCAACCATAGTGAAAATGAGAACAGCTTTACATGGCTCTCGGGATTACTGCTACGTCGAAGGACTAAGACTCCAATGAGAAAATGTACATTGACCTCGATTGTGAAAACATTCATTTCACTAAAAATATGATACATCTGGCTCTCTGCTCGACCCAGCTTAGAACAGGTGCTACTTAATTTCATGGAAAGTAAAGGCGGTCGGGCGTGATGTTCACTGCATCGCCCCTCAGGAACCGCTTGGTCCATAAAATCTGTTTTGCAATATATACCCTCCTTTATGTAAATGTAAAGTTCTTTGGTCATGTGATAAGAAAAGGAGCACTGTAATATATCGTGACGACTGGAAAGTTCCCTGGTAGAAAAGGCAAAGTCAGAGCAAGAGAAATGATGGTGGATGACTTAAGACAGTGGTATGGAGGAATATCATCAGTAGAGTTGATCCAGAACACAAAAGACCGAGATCTGTGGCGACGCATAAACGCCTACCCCAGTTGGCAAGAAACTTGATGATGATGATGATATAAATATAAGAAGAGGGCAGTTAGTGATCTTCGGTCATGTGGTGAGAAGAGAGGTACTGGAGAACATTGTAGCGACTGGACAGATCAGCGGTAGAAGAGGCAGAGGTAGACTAAGAGAGACGATGCTTGATGGCCTGGAGTAATGGCATGATGGATTATCATCAATGGAATTAACTCAAAATGCAAGGACCGAGATCAGTAGCAAGACATGGGCGCCTACACCGTTGGCCAGAGCGAATGATGATGATGAATATGTGCCCAGTGCACCAAAGGCGTGCAAAGGGTCATTGTCTTACTTTTTTACTTAATAATAACTGGCCACGATTATGAACCAACTCACCTTGCAAGCTCCGCACGCTGTGACTCCATAATGAAATCCCGTGCCTTGTTCGCCACAGATTTTACACGGTGGTAAATTTGGAGGCGTTTGATTGTTCATGGGGTTTTTCCTGCCTCGCATCTTGCAGTCTTCCTGCCGGATTCGTTACTGACCAACTGTTTAGTCCCTGAGAATATATATGTATATATTAATATTTTAAGAGCATACATCTTCCCGGTAGCAACATACAAATGTGAGTCGTGGACTCTCTCCCAGTCCTTAATAGACAAAAATAAATATGGGCTTTTGAGCTGAAATGCGTCGAAAGATTATCAAAATACCATGGACAGGAAAGAGAAGAAACACGACATTAAAAAGATTTGAACATCAAGGAAGTTTGACTAATAAACCCAATTTGTTCTCTGAAATATTTTAATTATATCAAACGCCATGGACGATTGGAAAAAAATAATAGCAGAAGGCATGGTATCAGAAAGGAGGGGCAGGGACCGATTAACACGAAGATGGGGACAGGATATAAGTGACACCTTGAATATAAAAGAAAACGAGGCGGGGAGAGCTGGCGAGAGAATAAATTTCTTTCGGGCAGACTGTGATGAGATCGACGTTCTGCAAAGGACCTGCTACATGATGATGATGATGATAGTTATAAACACACACATACACATACATGTAAACAAAATGGTGCTGAGCAAATCAAAATAAAAGAATTGTAATCGATATAACACATGCTTGTAAACATACACCATAAGTGGTGGAGAGGTGTCTCAGCAGTGAATTTGTCCAAGGTTCTAAACGTTGTGGATTCGATTTCAGTGACCGTGTTTCATTTCGATATTGCAGGTGTTTCGGCAATAAACTGGAGGGTCATCGATGGAGCTACATAGTTTCGTATATTGTGCGATGCTCTCTGCAACTGACCGCCCTTCTACAATGAGAGAGAAATAGACAAAGAGAAGGAATAAGAGGGAGATGGAGCTTTATGGGATAAAGCTTGATGTATGGAAGACGATACATTGGAAGTAGATGTTGAGAATTGACGTTACTAGAATTAATAAAACAAGAGATGAATATCTAAAGTTGTTGTATACAAGTATTTTAACTCAGATACTGGGACTTCGAGTGATTTCTCTATAATAATGTGGGATAGAAAACAGAACAAAAAAAGCTTGTATTGGTAAAAACAATATTTTTACCAGTTATTTAGCGATGCAGATCCGAAGACAATGGTTTCAGATCCTGGCAGAGCCCGACTTTTTTTCTAAAATAACCGTGGTTCACATGTCGACCCAGCCCTAAATGGGCAGTAGGTAAAGTCCATAGAGATAAAGGCGGTCCGCGTGACTCTGAACAATAGCACCCATGGATTCCTTAAACTATTTGTTTCTCAGATCTGGCTTTCTTTGACCGAGATATTCTCCAACAGCCTGTCAGTAAATAATGTCTCTCAGTCAATGCTATAGTCCGGTCAGAAAGCAGTACACTCAAACTTTAACAAATATCTCCAAGAGTCCTCTACGGATCAATATGAATTTGTGCATGTGGCCTTATATTTAACATGTCCTCATGATATTATAATTTACAATTGCACGGGTGTTGATGTTTTATCAAAGCGGCGAGTTTCTTTTATCTACTTAATCCGAAATAAAATTGAATATACAGTAACTGTTACACGCGTGGAGACTGTTTTGAAATCAGTTCACATGTGTAAAGATGAGTGGTTATAATTTTGATAGCCTATCCAGCATACAATGACAAATTATGTTCATCTGAGTGTGAAACGCCTATGAAAAGCATGAAATGTGATGTTTTGAAAGGTTCCTGTATTGTTATTAGCTGTAAGCATGCTGACTGTTATGTTATGTTATCACAATCGACGTCAAGGCACACTGGGAATTTCAATGCTGACTATTCGCTTTGAATCGGTGTCTGTTTATATATTTATTTATTTATGCATTTATTGGTTTAAATTTTATACCACAAATAAGGCATCGTAAATACTAGATGTTTGTTTAAATTTAAAACAAATCTTTACAAGGACTTTAACATTAAGAGGCTTCATGCCAAATTTGAAAGCTCACACCGAATGGTTACTGTGTTACAGATTTTTAAAGAAAGTAAGACATTACTTCTGGAACGTACCACACATAATCTATGCAATATTATTTGCAAAATCGGAGCGCATAAAAAATAAACAAAAGGTTCTAAATAAGTTGGAGACAGATATGGTTTTTAAAAAAGGCAATATTTGAATTGCCTAGCAGAAGAAGTTGATAAAACAATAAAGGCTCTAGTAGAACTAGTATGTATCGTAGGGATAGGTAGGTATGGTAGGTATGTAGGTAGGTAGGTACGTACTACAGTACGTACATACGTACGTACGTAGTTTGTACGTATGTATGTACTGTATGTATGTGTGTATGTATGTATATTATGTATGTATGGATGTATGCATGTATGTATGTATGTATGTATTTATGTATAGTATGTAGTGTATTTATGTATGTATTGTATGTATGTATGTATTTATGTGTGTTATGTAGTGTGTATGTTATGTATGTATGTATGTATGTCGGTATGTATGTATGTATGTATTGTATGTATGTATGTCTGTATGTATGTATGGTAATGTATGTTATGTATGTACGTATGTTATGTATGTATGTATGTATGTGTGTTGTCTTTATTTATATATGTAGGTTTGTATGTATGTATGTATGTTATGTTGGTATGTATGTATGTATGGTATGTATGTAGTTATGTATGTATGTTATGTTATGTAATGTATGTATGTATGTATGTAAGTATGTAGTGTATGTAATGTATGTATGTATGTATGTCTGTATGTAGGTATGGTATGTTATGTATGGTATGTATGAATTGTATGGTATGTTATGTATGTCAATGTATGTATGTATGTATGTATTTATGTATGTTATGTATGTAATGTACGTATGTAATGTTGTATGTATGTATGTATGTATGTATGATATGTATGTATGATATGGTATGTATGTATTTATGTCAAAAAAAAAAAAACTGTATGTGTATGTGTATTAATGTAAGTTTATGTATGTATGTATTGTAGGTATGTATGTATGTAGGTATATATGTATGTAGGTATGTGTGTATGTTTGTATGTAGGTATGTACTGTAGGTATGTATGTATGTATGTATGTACTGATGTATGTATGTATGTTATGTATGTTATGTATTTAATGTATGTATGTATGTATGTATGTCTGTATGTTGTATGTATGTCTGTATGTAAGTATGTGTATGTATGTATGTAATGTATGTAATGTATGTCTGTAGTTATGTCTGTCATTTATGTAATATCTGTATGTATGTCTGTATGTCTGTATGTAATTTCTGTCTGTATGTATGTATGTATGTATGTATGTATGTACGTATGTAGTATGTATGTATGTATGTATGTATGTCTGTATGTATGTATGTATGTATGGTATGTAGGTATGTATGTATGTATGTATGGCTATGTATGTATGTATGTATGTATGTATGTATGTATTTATGTATGTATGTATGTTATGTATGTATGTAATGTATGTACGTAAATGTATGTATGTATGTATGTATGTAATGTATGTATGTATGTATGTATGTATGATATGTATGTTATGTATGTATGTATGTATGTCTGTATGTATGTATTTATGTATGTATGGATGTATGTATGGTATGTATGTATGTATTTATGTATGTAATGTTATGTATGTATGTATGTATGTATGTTAAGCTGGGGGGGGGGGGGAGTATGTATGTTATGTATGCATTGTATGCATGTATGTAGGTATTAGTAGGTAGGTAGGTGTAGGTATGCATGCAGGGTATGTGTGGTAAGTAGGTAGGTAGGTAGGTAGGTAGGTAGGTAGGTAGGTAGGTAAGTACGCTACTAACGTACGTACGTACGTACGTACTTAGGTACGTAGTTAGGTACGGTAGGTAGAGTAGGTACGTACGTACCGACGACGTACGTAGCGTACGTACGTATCGTACGTATGTATGTATGTATGTATGTATGTATGTATGTATGTATGTATGGTATGTAATGTATGTATTATGTAATGTTATGGTATGTAGGTAGTATGTATGTATGTATTTATTTATGTATGTATGTGATGTATGTATTTACATGTGTGTGTGTGTGTGTATGTATGTAGGTATGTATGTACGTATGAATGTATGTATGTATGTATGTAAATGTATGTATGTATGTATGTATGTTATGTAGGTAGAGGTATGTTAGGTATGTATTTATGTATGTATGTAATGCGTGTATTTATGTATATATGTATGTTTGTATGATGTATGATTATGTATGTATGTATGCATGTATGTATGGATGTATGTATGTATGTATGTATTTTATGTATGTTTGTATGTATGTATGTATGGTATGTTATGTATGGATGTATTTAGTATGTATGTATGTATGTATGTATGCTATGTATGTATGTATGTATGTATGTTATGTTATGTATTGTATGTATGGATGTATGTTATGTATGTATGTATGTAAGTATGTATGTATGTATGGTATATTTTGTATGTATGTATGTTTGTATGTATGTATGTATGTATGTATGTATGTCATGTAATGGTAGTGTGTATGTTATGTATGTATGTATGTATGTATGTATGTATGTATGTATGTATGTATGTATGTATGTATGTATGTATGTAGTGTATATATGTATTGTATGTAGGTGTGTGTGTATGTGATGTATGTATAAATGTATGTATGTATGTAATGTATGTATGTATGTAGCAGTATGTACGTTAGCTATGTATGTATGTATGTATGTATGTATGTATTATGTCTGTCTGTATGTATGTATGTATGTATGATCTGTAATGTAATGTATGTATGTTATGTATGTATGTATGTATGTAATGTGTTTATTTATTATGTATGTATGTTTGTATGTAATGTATGTATGTCTGTCTGTATGTATGTATGTATGTATGTATGTATATGTATGTATGTCTGTAATGTTATGTCTGTATGTAATCGATGTATGTAGGTATGTATGTATGTATGTATGTATGTATGTATGTATGTATGTATTTATGTATGCATGGATGTATGTATTTAT